TAATAAAATACTGATTGGTCAGTAGCCAGGCAGGAAGTATAGGTGGGGCAACCAGACTAGGAGAATTCTGTGAAGAGGAAAGGCAGAGAGTCAGTCACCAGCCGGATGCAGAGGAAGCAAGATGAGAATGCCTCACTGAGAAAAGGTACCAAGCCATGTGACTAAACATAGACAAGAATTATGGGTTAATTTAAGTTGTAAGTGCTAGTTAATGATAAGTCTGAGCTAATAAGCCAAACAGTTTATAATTAATATAAGCATCTTTATTTTTTGCTGGGACTGAGCGGCTGCAGGACTGGGGGACAGAAACTTCTGTCTACGCTTTTCCTCAAACGATAATTTTCATTTTGTTCATAGTCTCTGCCTACAAGTTCTTCCCCTCTTTCTAACACGACCTGAACATTTTTAACGCTGCGGATGCACTTTCACTGCTTGTATACATAGGCTGCTTGGAGGTCTAGGTATGAACTGAATAGCTTGGCATACACTGGATGCTTCAGGGCAAATCTCCTGAAGGCCGCATAGGAAACCTGAGCTGACTCCTTGCCAGCCATCTCCTGGAAGAGTACGGAAACATCTAGGTCTGGCACTCCGAACGCTGCCCGGAGAATAGTTGTTAACTCTTGTTCCGTTATGTAGCCGTCCTCATCAAGATCAAAAAGCTTAAACGACATTTTCAGAATCTTCTCTGTGTTGGCAGGGTTGCACAGGACTGTTAGCCCTATCACATACTCCCGGAAGTCGATGGTGTTGTCCTGGTTCCTGTCAAAGAGAGAAAACAGCTGACTCAGGGGCTCTGAAACTGGGAGTTTCAGATAATTGGAAAACTCTTCAATTCCAATCCTGCCTCCTTTTGAGGCGACTGCAATCTCAGCGTATTCGTCCAAGTGCTTGTGGATATTGTCCCAGTCTAATCTCAATTTCCGGCTGATGGTTGTAAATTCCACCAAACCAGCTTCCATGGGTAGTTGAAGGGCACCAGCAGAAACCATCAGTCTGCAGTCTTCGAAAGTGTGATCCGTCACAGGGAGTTTCAAAGCATTTGCCATGTTGATTCGGACTGCGTTGGCAAAAAGGATGGGATCTCTCTTTTCTTCCTCACTTGGGTTGTAAACAGGCATAAACTCCACTTCCACCCAAGTGAAGGGCTGACTCAGAGTTAGCATCAGGGCCTGGACGCCTGTGAATCCCTGCCAGGTCCAGGTCACCGTGTCCACCGTGTTGGGGTACCTAAGCAGCACCGGCTGCACCGGGACACCTGGGGAGAAGGCCCCCAGTTTAAAGGTGATAAGACAGGAGCGATTGGTGCACACTCCTTCCGGGAAAATCAGAATCTGTGGCCACTTCATTTTGGATAACACTCGAGTCAGGATTTCATTCCGGGTAGTCTTCCTAGAATTCAGATCTTCTCGTTTCACAAGCACAGGCTGAGTGGACAGGAGGCATTTCCCAGCCAATGGGATCTGCACATTGTGGCTCGCAGAGACCACAGAAGGGAGCCCTGCCACAACAACGGCGATTGCATCAAAGAAGGTGGAGTGCGGCGCGGTGACGAAGACGGGGGCCTCTTCTCTGGTGGCCTTTTTCCCTTTGACCTTAACCAGGAACCCAGCAAAAAAGAACGTCACGCGGAACAAGAACCGGAGGGCCGGCTTCATCAGATGCTTCCTCCAGCCTTTCATGGGCTTGGTAGGTCGAGTAGGCAAGTTAATGGTGGAGAGCGTGGCCATAGGCCAGAGGAGGAGGAAGAGGAAGGCGATGCAGGACACACGCACAGGTACCAGCACGGTGCCCAGGAGGATAATGCGGGCCCAGCGCCAAGCACTGAGGTGAGTCTGCTGTACGAAAGGGTTGGCCACCGCAGGTGGGAATAAGGACCTGTTCACTTCCCCAGCGAACTCGCTGTCCCACACCTCCAACTCGGTGGTGTCTGTGGTCCGTCTGCGCTCCGTCAGGTGAGCCATGAAGCCTGCTTCTCAACCTATGAGTATCCCTTCTCCCACATTCGAGTGCTGCTTCTGTTTGCGCGTGATTGGCACCCTTAAAGCCAATTTCTGGTTAATAGGAAATGATGCATTCCCTTTAAAATTAGAAGAAAGACCCACAGGGAAATTAGGATCTCATCAAGAGAACAATCATGGGGTGTTGTTTTGATATATATGGTTAAAGAAATTTCACATAACAATGTCTGGTACTAATCATATACATTTACTAATTTATATTTATGAATTTAAATGAATGAATACTAATATCAACTTTCAAATTTAAGTGATATTGCCAGTAATATTGCTATGGGCTGCTTTGAACACTAGTGAGATTCACCCATTGTCCCTACAGATTGGTTGAGTTAGGCCGATGGTCCTATCTCTTTAGGCTAAGAAGTGTGAATAGTGTCCCCTTAAACATCTGTGTTAGGAGTACTTTTCCACACACATAGGAATTTAGGAAGAGGCAGGAAAGAGAGAATAGTGGACTCTGTGACTTGAGAGCAGAGGACCTTGTAGGGAAGGAAGGGGACCAGGAAGGAGCAGGGGCACAAGGGATGGGAGTAGAGGAGGAGGGTAAATGAGGAAAAAGTGTGACATATATGAGTGAAATGCCGTGGTGAAACCCATCACTTAGAAAATTAATTTAGAAAGGAAAATTAGAGTACATTAATTCTAATAGGCCAGAATTGGTCATGGTATGTGAGGTTTGCAATGTTAATATTAGTTAATATGAACCAGTCAACACTCTAAACTGATAATATATGAGAAGAAAAAAAAACCTGTAACATCAACTTGGCCAGTAATAAGGCTTTGATTAAGATAAGAACGGCTTTGCTGTGTCCTCCATTACTACTGTCCTTGGGATGTCATAAAAGAGGGAAGCCCAGTTAGTGTGAACGGGGCTTTTCTTCTAGACCTGGTGGAATTCCAGACTCCAGGAGGGCCGTATTGAGGGTTCCTGCTATGTTTGCTAACTTCTAATTTGGATTCCTTTTCCCAGAACTAAAACAATAATTTAGGCCCCAGAGTTTCCATCTATTGACATATATTAGGTGTTATGGATACCAAAGTAAGGTGTGAGCTACATGGAAGGCCACTTCCAGGTGCCAACATTTATACACGGGGAATCGGCAAAGTCGCCTGTTAGAACTTACTCTACTGTCTTTCAAAGAAAGAGCTTACTCCCTACCTTCTACTTTTGTCATGAGGCTCCGACAAAATGTTCGTAAACAAACTGAGTTTTTATTGTATAGAGGTTGCTATGGCAATGAGAATTCCGAGGAAATTCTATACTCTCTTGTCACTACCGGGACCATCTGTCATGAAGGAAGTGTCTCTAAGGTGCTGTGACTTGTCAAGTGCCAATCACTGCTTCCTTTGCCAAAGAGGACATCCCAAGGCAGTGGACAGCAGTGACCAGTCACACTGCCCTCTTCTGTGTCTTCCTGTTCTATGATGTCGTTTCTACTCTGTCAGCTTTCTTTTCTTAGAAAAATAATTTACTAATTTTTATTTTATGTGCATTAGTGAGGGTGTCAGATCCCCTGAAACTGGAGTTACAGACAGTTGTGAGCTGCCATGTGGGTGCTGGGAATTGAACCCCGGTCCTCTGGGAGAGCAGCCAGTGCTCTTAACCACCAAGCCATCTCTTTAGCCCCTCTTTCAGCTTTAATTGCATTCTGTATACGGCTCTTAGAAAGAGTTGTTACACCATCTTTCTTTCATACTGCATGTGCCTGATGTGGTGTAGTATTAGATTGTAACATGGTATTGCAGTAGTTAGTCCCTGCCCTCATTCATGGTTTCGGGTGTCTGTGGTCCACCAGGGTTTAAAAATATTCAGTGAGAAGCACAGAAATAATGCTTAAATCTTTTAAGCTGTACAATAGTCTGAGTGGTGTGATAAAATCTCCCACTATACAGTTTCCTCCTTCTAGGGATGTAAGTCATCTCTGTCCAGGATAGTCTGCCCGAACGTGTCTCCGTCCTCTCCACTCTCAGATTGGCTGCCCTGGTGTGCAGCACTTGTGTAAATAAGATCTGTGCTTTGCCCAGTGTGACCTAACGTCACTCACCAATGGCCCCCAAAATGCCGAAGCAAAGCCACAGAACTACTTTTAATTGAAAAAGTGGATGTTTTCCATGACAGATGAAAAAATGTACTGTGAACACGAGAGAAAAAGAGATCAATGCTAATCTGATTTTCAGACTTCAGACTGAAAAAGTTATAGACACAGTAGACTGTGAGGGCTTAATGAAGATGAGAAAGGTGTTTATCATACAGAGTTTGGTTCATCTACAGTTTGGGATCTACTGGGGTCTTTTTTTTTTGTTTTTTTTTTGAGACAGGGTTTCTCTGTAGTTTTGGAGCCTATCCTGGAAGGATCTACTGGGGTCTTAAGACTGCATTTGTTCACTAAGAAATTATCTGCAAGTCTACAGTGCAGTAGGCCTTTATTCTAGATGATGTACATCAGATTTATAAAAATTAAGAATCTTATCCTATAAAACTTGGATTCTAGTGTATAAAGGAATAGTAGTATTTATTTCTTACTGCATTGAAGGTGTAAAAAGATATTTTCCTACTTGGTTGATGTAGCTTGTACCAGTTTCAATTAGTTTAATCCTTCATCATAGATAAACTTAAGACACATTTTCAGAAATACCCATCTGGCTAAGTTTACATTAAAATTCCTTTATATATTATAAATACACAGGATTTAATGATGGGATTTTTATTGACCAAAAAAAACCAGTAAAGAAAACATTGTTTTAACAATGAAATTAAAATGTTTTCCATTGCAGATCTGCCTTTCGCCCTTCGGCACAGCTCATGTTCATGTATGTTTGCAAAAGGCACCACATGTTAGTATAACAAAGAAAACAAGAAGCCAAACCTGAGCCATTTTCCTTGGTTACCTTTTTGTACAACTGTGTATTTTAAGGCAGGCATTTCTCTGTGCAGATATAGTGAAAAAATTACATAGACTTTTTTCAATACCATATTTCACTATATTTATTTATAATCAAGCATATTAAAACAGGTGATTTTTCCTAGTAAAACGTAAATTGATGAACGAGTTTTAGGAGGTTTTTGCGATTCCCTTATAGGCTCTTCACAGGAGACGGTCATTCTCTTCTCCTGTCTTCCCTCAGGAATGCCCATATCAGCCTGTTCACTATGTCAGGTTGGTCCTGCTGAAGCCAATGGCTACCTTCTGACAAAACGGTGAGTCTGAAATAGTTTTTAACGTAAACCTTTGTGACTTCAGCCATCTCAGCCTCCATGAATGCATCTTCCTCTCCCCACAGGAGCAGTGTCGGCGTCGTCACCATGTGGTGCTTGAGAGGCAGGCAGCTGAAAGATCAAATGCATCAACCTGAGAACGTCCTTCCTAGCACTGCATGGCGAAGTGCCCCTCACAGGAGACATACTGTCTCTCACTGATGGGGTAAAAACGGGCTTGGGAGGGTAGAAGAACCTCACATTTTATTCATAAAACCTGAATATGCACAGAGTACACAAACATACTGAATTTTCATGGGGCAGGGTAATTTTGGGGGAAATGTCTTTAAAAGCTCCCCTGGGAAGCGATAATGAAAAATGTCAATCACCACACTGGGCAGTCAGACTGATCCAATTATGTGGAGTGTGTTGGTGAATGCAATCTCAATACTCAATACTCAAGAGGCAGGACAATGCTTCAAGTTCAAGGCTGACCTGGGCTACATAGTGAATTCCAGGGCAGCATGGGCCAAAGTTGAGACCTAAAAACAAGTTAACAAACCCCTAAACAAAACAAAATAAAACCAACCAACCAAACAAACCCTCAAAGGAATCTAGTAAAATCTAGTAAAAGTTTACCAGTCAAGAGCTGACTTGCATCTCCAGCATCAGGTAAAAGCTGAGGTGTCAGCTGCATTTATAACCAGCAGAGGCCAGGGCAGGAGGTTCTCTAGGGCCTGCTGACTTTCCAGTCTGGTCTAATCCTCAAGCCCCAGCTGCACAGTAAGAAACGAGCTCAAAAAGAAAGGTGCATGGCCCTGAGGGGGCATCCCAGGCTGTCTTCAGCACTCAGGAACACACAACCTGCACATACACTCACACAAAAAAATCAACTGTCTTCAGCTTTCATAAAGCTGAATTCTGTACAGGGCCAACCAAGGCTACACAGTGAGACTCTCTAAAGAAAAATAACAACATAACCCAAACGAACAAAGTCATACGCTTTGCCTTTCGTGGGCTTCCTATCTCCTGGAGATAACAGTCTTTCTCCTGGGTGCAGGTCTTCTCAGTGGGCGGTCACAGTGAGAACAAGCAAAGAGTTTAGGAAAGGACAGAAATACAAGAGCGTCTTTCCTCTCTCTGCCACTTCAAACACACTTTTCTGGGTGGGGGGCGTTCTTGACATTTTAGAGACCCTCCCCCTTACATGGTAAGAAAGACACCATGACACCAAGATACTCAGATTGCTGTCTGTTTAGACATGGTCTTACTGGGTAACCCAGGCTGTCCCTTGCATTTATGATCCTCCTGCCTCAGCCCTTCCAGAGCTGGGATTGCACACCGTACATCACCATGCCTGGGTGCTACCATTGTTGTGGTTATCTTATTTTGTCTCTCTCCCTGCTTCTTTTCCCTTTTCCTGACTCTTTTGAGTTGGTAGTCCACCCCACAAATCCTGGTTTAAAGTTACTGAAAATACCTCCATGCTCTTCTTGTCCTCTCAGTCCTGAGCTCCCGCCACATGGACCCTACTCGTTCTGCCACGTGGACAATGCTGCCACGTGGACCCATGCTGCCACGTGGACAATGCTGCCACGTGGACCCATGCTGCAGCGTGGACCCTGATTGTGCTACATAAAATCACATCCACTCCCCACACAGCCTTAGTCCTCACCTTTTCTCTTTCTGGCCCCCTGGCCTTGGCCTGGACTTGGCTTCTTTGCTCAAGCATTGTCTCCTCACTTTTCACCTTTCTCCCTTTCAAAGCTTCTCTGTGTGTTTGTGACTTACATGGGTTCATTATGGCCATTGTGTATTTCATGTCTGTTTTCTCTACATGGGGCAAGATTTGTGAGCTCAGCGTCCTTGTCTTGTTTTACTCAACATTGCACCTTGAGTGTTCACAGCCAAGGACATAAAATGTTCTTAAAAATGTTTCCTGAGTGAATTAATGCATGAGCATTGCAATATAATAAAAATGAATCTACTCAAAAGGAAAGAATAAGTGGATAGAATTATGGATAAAAAAGCAATGGCCACATGGGAGATCTATTATATTATTCTCTATTTTTTCATTTTTTAATTTTTTTTATGAGCAAGGCAACAGTGTTGGTACACACCTGTAATTCCAGCACTTGGGAGGTAGAGGCAGGCGGATCTCTGAGTTCAAGGCCAGCCTGGTCTACAAAGCAAGTTCCAGGACAGCCAGGACTATTTCACAGAGAAACCCTGCCTCAGAAAACAAAATAAAACAAAACCAATTTCTATGAAAGAAACAGAATATTGTGTTTGGGGCTGGGGTGATGACTCCATGGTGGCCACACAAGTATGAGGCCCTGAGTTCAGGTCAACAAGTAGAATAACACCTGCAATCCCAGCATTTCTACGTAGAGTCCCAGGAAGCTCACGGCTCAGTTAGTCTGGGTTATGTAGCAGAAAACGAAGACTCAGCTTCCAACAAGGGGATAGAAGGTGAAGATCGACCCCCCCAAGGTTGTCTTCTCTCTGCCACATGGGCTCTGTAGAGTATGAGCATTATCACACACACACACACACACACACACACGTGTGCACACACACAGACACACACACAGAGATAGAGAGGAGACTGACACCCAAGGTTGTCTTCTTCCTGCCACGTGGGTGCTGTAGGGTATGAACACATTACCATCACAGAGAGAGAGAGAGAGAGAGAGAGAGAGAGAGAGAGAGAGAGAGAGAGAGAGAATGTGCTGTATCTGGGGAATAAGGGGTACATTTAATTTAAAATAAAATAAATGTTATCTCTTTAAATTGAACTATTTTACTTAACCCAAGAGAAATTATACTGACTTGAAAATGTTTCGATAATGGTTAATTGGGCCACTCAGTGCCCCGGGCTGCGAAAAGACATAAATGTAGGCTTCCAGATCGTCCGCGGTCAGCCGACGTCCTCTCCTTCCAATGCCAGTGCTCCGGCTGGTGAACAGGTGCTTCAGAGCCTGATTGAAGCCAAAAGACAGGAATTTAAACTGAAGCTCTCACTTAAACGGGATCTGGGGCCGACAGCGTAGCTCAGTTGGTAGAGTACTCGGCCAGCGTGCACAAAAATGTGGCTCTATTCCTAGTACTGCTTACACCGAGCACAGTAGCCAGCACGAGCTGGTCACCCCAGCATTTCAGTAGAGTCAAGAGGACCAGAGGCCAACGTCACCTTTTCTGTATACGAGTGAGTAAAGGTCATCCTGGCTTTTATGCAGCCTTGTCTCAAAAAAAAAAAAAAAAAAAAAAAAAGGGAGAGGTGGTACGGTAGTTAATAGGGGGGATATGGTGGTTGATGGGGGATATGGTGGTTGTTTATATGAAGTGGTAACTCCTAATTTTTGCTCCATCTCAAGGTTTCATTGTCTTTAGATGCATTTCACATTTCTGCTTTCTTAGGTTTTTTATTCTAACTTTTCAGTCTCTTTGTGAATATCATCCTCTTGAAAAGTGTGCTATCTTGGTGCCTATTCACATTCTATAAGACCCTGCCAGGTAGTACACCTACCAAAATGCCTTCCTTACTATTCCAACTACTGCTTAGTGGCCAGGAAGGTCCTTCTTACAAAGTTATTCAAGCCAGAGTAAGAAACACAGTTTATGTCACAACTTAGTTTATACCGCAGTTCCCACCAGTTTCATAAGTGAATGAAGTGGAGTTTAAAGAAATAACTGTTAGTCATCACGTTTGCTGAACTTTCCAAGTCGGCTTTGTCACGCTCGTTCTTAAAGTCCTAACTGAAAGCTACTGAACTGCTTCAGTGGCTCAGCTACGTGTCAGGAGGAGCCATTGTCTACCAAGTCTCAGTCACACCTGGCAGAAGAAAACCAGCTAACGCTCATTATCCTCTCACCGTCACATCCCCCCCCCCCAGATAATAACCATGGAGAAGTTTCTAATGTAAACCCTTCCACACAGAAACATCCCTGCACAAGTGGGATGCCGTTGTACGTACATCCCACTTAATCATGTTATTTGAAAAGGAGCAGGAAAACTCAATCCCCATCAATTGAGGACTTGTTGAATAAGTTCTAGTACAGTCACATGGTAGTGTACAAAGTACACGGTAGTGTACGTACATCCCACTTAATCATGTTATTTGAAAAGGAGCAGGAAAACTCAATCCCCATCAATTGAGGACTTGTTGAATAAGTTCTAGTACAGTCACATGGTAGTGTACAAAGTACACGGTAGTGTACGTACATCCCACTTAATCATGTTATTTGAAAAGGAGCAGGAAAACTCAATCCCCATCAATTGAGGACTTGTTGAATAAGTTCTAGTACAGTCACACGGTAGTGTACAAAGTGCTCTGAGCACCACTGCTCACTGTGTAAGAAAAATAATCATTTTCTGTGATAAACTCACAAATAAAGCTTCTCTTGGCTAGAGTAAGGTAGACACTAAAACAAACACTTGCCCAGTCTCAAACTATATTTCAGTGAACTTCTATATAGTTAGAATGCACCTTCTGAAGCCCTGGAACTTCAACTAAGGTTTTACACTTCCTCTATCAATTGAATTTTTATGTACTTTCCTACCACACACACACACACACACACACACACACACACACACACACACACACAAGAACTGATGGAACTAGAAAAAATCCCAGTGAATGAGGTAACACTGACTCAAAAAGACAAACATCAAATGTTCCCTCTTACTGGAGACTCCTAGCTCTAAATCATCAGATGTGAGTATATAGTAGCTAAGAAACCAGGAAAGTAAACAGGACCATTAGGATTAGTTAGGACTGGGGGCTGGGAAGCAATAGAGGGGGAAGAGCAGGCTAGAGGCGATCTGATAGGAAAATGGGAAAGGAGGTTTTCTTCAGGGGAGGGGGAGGGAGATGAATAAATTAACAATAAAGATGCAAAGAATCATACTATTAACTATTTACCTAAACAATAAAATCTATAATACATGTTACCTAGTGTATTATATACATGTAAATATAGACCTGTTTACACACACACACACACACACATATTTGGATTTTGATTGACAATGCTTCCTCCAAGAGCCAAAGACCACCTCACAAAAATCCCAGTACCAAACATGAGATGCCTTCTTTTCAGTCTAAGAGATTCCCAAATCACTCAGGCTTTTGCTGTTGCCCTTGGTTGTCGCCAAAAGGTGGAAGATAAATCCTTAGTGCAGAAGACACCACATGCTTTAGAAACCCAGCACAGAGACCCCTGAATTCCCTCCTCCCTGAGATATGGCTTTCATGGTCCCAGCAGGCACCGCGCAGATGTCCAAAGGAGGGAAGTGCCGGCAGTTCTACCCAGCTGTGGCACGTAGAACCACATTAAGGATTGGTATGTCATGATGGGTGCAATGATGGCACACACACCTTGGTGGTAACCAACTGCTTTCTAATCGGACTTAAAACCTGTTCAACAACTGGAAACCTAGTTAACTATTCAGTTAACCTAGTGAAGTCATGGTTTTTGAAGGAGGATCTACAACCTCTAATTTACTAAACCAACATAATCCCTAACAACAATGCATCAATGTTTGTCCTTATACCCACAGGTAAGTATATACAGTCTTCATGCTTCATCATGCAACAGACAGGCCACTTCAGAACATCACAACCAATCAAAATGCAGAGTTATGGAGCCCAGTCCCAGGGGCTACATCTACAAAATATGTCCACATCCAAGGCTCAGGGAACATTGTCAAAGAGGAGGCAGAAAGACTGTAAGAGCCGGAGGGTCAGGGGGTTTGCTGTGAGGTTGTGTTTTCTAGTAACACAGAAGCTACGCACAATGTCTCGCCAATGTGACTGCTTTAACATGAGCTGAACAAGGATGACACCAATGGCCGTGCCAGCTGGTAAGGGAAAAGCCCACAAGACCTCGCCCTACTCAAAGAACTCCAGGCAACTGAGGAGAGCTGGGAGTGAGAGGAATGGTTCTTCCCTAGAAAAGAGCACACCAATTGTTGTCCAGCGCCAAATGGTCAGCTCCACAAACACACATACAATAACGTTATATGGAATGAATAGGTTATAGTTAGCAAGATAGATGTATGTACATCCATGGTAGTGAAAAGGAGACCAAACATTTCAAGGAGTGGGGAGAGGCGTACGGAGGGAGTGGAGTGAGGGAAGAAGGGAGAAATGCTGTAATTAATTTATCTAAAAAAAAACCCACACAGCTTAGTTGAAATTAGAAGAACAGTTAACTTATATCCTCTTTGCAAGTGGCATGTTCTTTCTCCTAAATTCCATCCTTCCTCGTGGCCTTATCCTTTCTTGATCTCCTTTCTGGATGATTCACAACACTGACATTTACAGCTGTTTACATAGAAACGTGTGCATTATAGGCTAGGTTATAGTTTACAAAAATAAATAAATAAATTAAATGGTCGCCTATGAGAGAGGGAGGGAGCAGGGTGGATGGACAGACAGACAAGCAAGACTGTTCTGAATGTGCTTTGTCTAAGCACTAACATGGAACAATACAAATGTTTTATATAGTATCAGAAAAGTTAGTTAAAATCCTGTCTTTAGAAATACAAGCAAGATTTCATGAGTCATTTCTTCTTTTTAAACACTATAAACAAATTCTGTCTGATAAAAGTATCTAGAAACCTGAAGTGGCAAGTCTTCTGTATAAGCATTGCTTTTATTGGTTGATGAATAAAGCTGTTTGGGCCAATGGCTTAGCAGAGTAAAGCCAGGTGGGAAATCAGAATAGAGAGAGAGAGAGAGAGCAGGTGGAGTCAAGGAGACGCCAAATGCCAGAACAGCCTTGTGATGATACACAGAATAATAGAAATGGGTTAATTTAAGATAAAAGAGTTAGCTAGAAATACGCCTGAGTTGTTGGCCAAACAGTGTTGCAGTTAATATAGTTTCTGTGTGCTTATTCAAGTCTGGGTGGCTGGGAAATGAACAAGCAATCTCTGCTTACAGAAGCCCCATAAAATGATCACCTTGACATCCAAACTGTGGTCTGAAATACCACTTCTCACTAGATGGAATAACAGTTTCTTAGGTAGACGGATGATTCCATACTGGGACAGGAAGTAACAGATTCCTAAGTTAAATATGAACTATCATCATTTTAAATGATTATATAACAGAGACACAGGAACCAAGATTTGGGGGACTCCCACTTGGCTCCTATGGAATAATATGGACCTCAGAAACAAGAATGACTGGTAGTTATTGGCATGTCAAATATATACTCATGGCATGGAACATCCATCCTGTTATTTTTTATTTAAAAATCACCAAAAGATGTGAAAAGTTCCAGTTGATAAAAACAGAAAGAATGACAGAATTAGAAAATTATCATGTTGCATACTGTACTGAAATAATAAAACTACATGATTAATAGCAACATAAATTTGGCAGAGTGCCAGGAAGTTGTGACTGGACTGGGCTAATGGCTCAGGGGCACAATGTAAGTAAAATGGAGACAACCAAATATAACAGGTTTGGCTGAGAGGATGTACAAGGAAATATATAGTACTGCCTTTTGAAAATCCCTATCAAATTAAAATCCAATATAACTAAGCCTCTAGATCAGCCAGCGTCTATAAAGTAGGAAAAACCAGGGCTATCGGGTCAAAGTGGAACAGCACATGGAAGCAGCTAGGAAATCCCAACTAGGCATCCTCCCTCAGGGCGAGCAACCTAATTGCTTCAACTTCAAGTTTGCTTGTTAGTTTGTTACTAACTGGTTAGTGTGGACCAGGCAGGGCTCAGATTTGTGGTAGTCTTAACTGCCTCTGCCCTCTGCCGCCCTCCACCCGCCACCCTCCGCCCGCCACCCTCCCACCTCAGCCTTTGCCTCCTGAGTGCTCGGATTACAGGTGTGTGCCACCATCCCCATTAAGAGAAAAGCAAAGAAACAAGGAACTTGAAACAATTTTAAAAGTCATAGCAGCTGGATATGTTGGCCAGACCCTGTCGTCCCAGCTACCAAGGAGGACGAAGATTTCTTGAGCCCCAAAATTTAAAAACAGCCTGGGAAATATAGTGAATCTCTTAAAAAATAAAAGGAAGAAGGGAAAGGGAAGCAGAGCGGAGGGAAGAGAAGAGGGAAGAAAAGCAAACAAATCAACATAACAACTAAATACAATACCTGTGGCCATTATTTGGTCGAGACAAATGAAGTATATCAAGAAAAGTGAAATCTTTAAGGAAATTTGAACACATATTACACGACATTGAGGGGTTGCTATTTATTTGGCTAGGTTTGATAGTGGTGTCAGAATTGTGTATTTTCAAAGGCCCTGATTGGCTGGGATAAATTTCAGTAGTTAGATGTATTTAGCATTTTCAAAGCTTTGAGGTTATTGGGTTCATTCTCCAGAACCTCACTCAACCTCAGCAAAGGTCCCTCGCTTGTCAAAGTTACACATGGGATTATCTCCAGTCATATTATTATTACTTTAAAAAAAATTCCCCAACAGCTAACACTGTTTGAGACATCAGAGAAGCATTCCACAAGCTCCTAAGACACCTGAGTATATATGGTCCACTAACTCTCTCTCGTGCCTTCTTCTCCGTCAGAGGTGGAGAGACGCTCACCTATAACGAAGGACTGGGACTTGAGCAGATTCCCTAAAAGGCTTACAGAGGGACAGGCCACGCTGGTAACAAAAGTATAACCAGCTTCTCCTTCATCTTCCCGACTGGATACAAAAGCCCGGCGGCTTAAAACAAAGGCCTCGAGGACTTTTCTCACACTGGTCGGGCCCCTGGTGGACTGTCTCCATAAGTTCATGGCCACATCAGCACACGCTTACACAACCATTGTGGGCCAATTAGCTATCCTGTCTTTCTTCTTCAGACTGACCAACCCTAAATCGGGGGAGGTAGACCTTTCAGAGGCTTAAAAGCCCCAGTGCTCAAGAAGGAGACTGAGTTCTTGGTTTCCCCATTGTCATTTTACTGTGTGTTTCCTCATGTCTAATAAATGTCTTTCTTCAGCTGCTGGTTCTCTGCTCTTGTTTGCTGAGTTTGAGATTTCTCTGCTGATATTCCTCTTGTTCAAGATTTTTTTTCCTGCCTTTTTATTCTTTAACTGGTGGAGAAAACAAGAAGATGAAGACTACTAGACAGGAGCAACACAAGCTCCTGTGCAGTTGACAGCCTGGCATCCAAACACAACCATAGAGATACAGAGATAAGGAAGCCTGAGAGAAAGTCCTTAAACCTACTGTGTGGTTTAACTGAGAATGGTCCCATAGACTCGTATGTTGGAATCTTGGTCCCCAGTTGGAGGGTCTGATTTTGGAAGGATTAGGAGCTAAGGACTCGTTATTGTTGGAGTAGGTTATCTCTATGAGGTGGGTTGTAAGGTCTCAAAGCCCATACCAGGCCCAGTCACTCTTTCTCTTCCTACAGATAAGAGCTCTCAGCTACGCTCTGGCACCATGCCTGCCTGCCTATCTACCACGATGCTCTCTGCCACGATGAAAATGAGTCTCTGAAACTAAAAGAACCCCCAATTCATTGCTGTCTTTCATAAGTTGCCTTGGTCATGGTGTCCCTTCTCGGCAATAGAACAGTAAGTAACTAAGACATCTAATAATTAACATTTTAATTTCATTTTCATTCTTAAATATTAATTTTCATTAAAATGTTTGTCAAAAATAATAATGATAATAATAAAGTATTTGTTTGACTTACCTTGAAATCATTAATCGAGAACATAAATTCTGGGAACCATGGTATTTGGAAGAAGTAATAAAAGCTAGATCTGAGCAGCTGGGCGGGGTGCCGCAGTATGTAGTCTGAAATGAAAGTGCTATGTTAGACATTGTCCAGTCGCTGTAAATTAGTTACTGCTGAGGGAACGTCTTACACCAATTCCACTTTTTAGGCAATCCCATTAAAGAAAGCATGGCTTTCCGTACACCCTTGCTCTTTTATTTTGTTTGGTATTTATTTCCAGTGTATAGAAAATGTGTACTCCTTAAACAAAAAGGAAGTTCCTCCCTAAGAAGCTTTCACTCAGCAGGGAGGCGGGACTACCTGCTTGACCTCCGAGGTCATGATCCCACACCTAACGTATTGCTTAGGAATCTATGGTGATGCAGTATCCCATTATTTAAAGGAGTTTTCTTCTAGACAGATTCAGACTGAAGTCTTTATTTCTCACCTTCAATAGGAACTGGATAATTTCCTACACCTTTATTCATGCATCTAGAAAATTACTCAATCAATGACAGTTTTTGAATCAACTGTAAGTCAGGGGTTTATCAGGGAACAAGCAGATGGGGGGGGGTCTTCTGCAGAGAAAACATCTTAAAATCGTGCCACGGTCAGTGGTGCAGCTGGTGTGAGGCCCAAAGTGTGCCCCTCAAAATGGCAGTGCTGGTGACAGTGTCCTACACAGAAGGGCTTTGGCTTGGTAAACAGAAGGATTGTTATTGGGTTAAGAGAAGACTGTTATATTTTTGGTTGTGAGCCTCGCCTTTAAAGGCTGAGCCATTTCTAGAGGTAGGCGGATCTCTGTGAGTTCAAGGCCAGCCTGGCCTACAGAGTGAGTTCCAGGACAGGCTCCACAGTTTCAAAGAAACCCAGCCTTGAAAAACAAAATGAAAGATTGAAATCAGGGATCTGTTTACCAGGAACCCCCCTTCATCTGCCCCCAAAGATCAACTTCCCTGGGCAAGGGCATCCAGCTCCCCGTCAATCCAAACAAGCCAATCAGCCCAAAGACCACCTGCTAACACACACTGTCATATAAAGCCTGCTTGGTTTGTGACATTTTTTCTTCTCTCTGTCCACCCTCCCACACACACCCCAGAGATAGCCTTGAAAGTTTGGTCCCCAATAAACCTTTCTTTTTGCTCTCGGAGTGGTCCAGTCTGGTGGTTTCTCTGTGCCCTTGCTAACACTTAGCAGAGCACTTTGTCTAACGTGCACATGGCTCTGGGTTCAAACCCCAGCCCAGCACAGCGTGAGGAAAACAGAACAAGGTAACAAGAGTGATAGAGGGAGAGGGTGGGGAGATCAAGAGAGGTGGCCAGAGAAGGCTCTCAACGTGGCCTGTGGCAAGGCGGGCTTCGTGTTCCGTGGTGAGAGGGAGCCAGCTCTGCAAAAATCTAGCGAGGGCATCCAGGAACAGCCAAATGGGTCCTGGGATTGACATCTGCAAGAAGCAGAAAGAAGGCGTGGCTGGTGTTCCGGGAATGAATGGGGAGGAGGAGCCTGATTCGGTAGGCGTGGCAAGGGAAGCACTTGGAAAGACAATGAAGACAATCAGGAGGCACTAACCACAGGACTGGGGAGTGTTTACCTGACCTGGTACTGAGCTCCATCTTGCTAGGGAGGTGTGATTTTATTTCTCATTTTGTAACTATACTCACGTGTCTGGGAGTCTTAGGAACACCGTTTGATGGTAACGGTACTACTGCTATGCTACCTTTTTTTTGTGAAGGTGGAACTTTTTTCACTTAAATCAAGAGAAATCAATTTAACTGATTAACTGACCAGTTTAGCTGGAAAACAAATCCAGGCATATTGTCTGCAAATGCTTGGTGGGGTTGTAAGAAACATCAAATATGAGTCTTTCCTATTAAACACGATAAAACTTATGTTTAGAACAAGATCCCCACGCACACCCTAAAATCCACTTATGAGTGAGTACATATATTTGTCTTTCTTGCTCAGCCTTGATACAAGTGTGTGTGTGGGGGGGGGGGGGTCCTTGGTCCTGCCTCAACTTGTTATGGCCGACTTCCTTGACTCCCCAAGGGAGGCTTTACCCCCTCTGAGGAGTGGGTGGGTGGGATGGGAAGAGGTGGGAGGTAAGAGAATGGGCAGGGGAACTAGGGTTGATATGTAAATGAAAAAATTTAAATAAAGAAATAAACAAAAAAGGAAAAAGTAGAGGGGGCCATGAATTTGGGGAGTGGGAGTGAACATGGACCAGTGAAAGAAGACGGGGTGCTGGCAAATTTGTGTGCCCAGATTTCTTCTCTCTCTTCTGCTCTAGGAACATATCGCAACAGACTGGAGGCAGACGCAAAGAGCCGGCTGTCTTCTGTTATGCCAGAATTAAAAGATTTGTAAAATTTGAAACAACGTTCTTTTCACTAATTCTTGTTTAGTGTATTAGTCCTTTTGTATAGTCTACTTAGTTTTCATCAAATTGCAGTGTTTATGTGAACCTGCAATAAATTTTTAAAACTAATGGATATATAAATATATTTTAATTATCCCAGTTTTAAGTTCCTAAGTAGTAACCACTTATAGATATAACAGGTAAACAGAGTCTCCCCGAGGTCTTTAATAATTTTAAGAGAATAAAGAAGTCCTGAGGTCATGAGGTGAAACCGTTGAGAGTTAGAAATAGATTTGCGTCCAGCAGCTAAAGCGCCCAGGAAAGAGAATTTCCTTCTGCCAGGATGTGTGATTTTCAAAGCACTGCCAACATTGCCTCCCTTAGTCCGCTCCAAGATAAGTGAAATGGTGTCCAAAAAATTAGGAAATTATACAAGAAAATAAGAAGCTAAATTTTCTTACATTTTTTCCAGGAAAGTTTAAAGCAAAGTATTAGGCTGGCTTTGTAGTTCAGTGATAGAGTGCCTCACTAGCAATTGTAGAGACCTGGGCTTGATTTCCCCCTACGCACAATCACACACACACACACACACACACACACACACACACACACACACTCACGCACGCATGCACGCACGCGAACACAGACACATGTCAGACCTGGGCTTAGGTCAGCCTGGGCTACAGTGTAAGGCCCTGTCTGAAAACAAACAAATCAATTCAGGTATCTGCCATCATGTATCACGTGCCCCGTCGGCTTAGTTGGTTCTCTTTATTTATTTATCTAGTGATTGATTTATTTATTACCTATCTTTGAGGCAGAGTCTCACTGTGTAGCTCAAGCTGGCCTTGAACTCTCTGTCCTCCTGCCTCAGACTTCCAAGGGCTGAGATTACAGATGGGAACCCCCATGCCCAGGCTTCACTCCACCATTAAAAGATTATGCTAACCAAACTTTGCTGTTTTTAATCCAAAACGTCAGTGGTGATAGGGAACTCACCTGTAAATACGCTCGGGTGTGGGAAGTTAATGACGATGAGCTTCATTATCATCTCAGGGTAGCAGATGGCAATCAGCCAGGCAATCATGCCTCCCCAGTCATGGCCAATCAGGACACATTTGCTATACCCTGGGACCAAGAAAACATGCTGACATCACGGTAAAGAAAGCAGTGGTGACATCGCTATCTCCCGCAAGAGTTACATTCCTGAGGTCATGCTTACCTTATCTCACCCAATATCCCTACAAGTTATACACTTTAAAAAGTGTATGTGCACGCCTTTAATCCCAGCATTTGGGAGGCAGAGGCAGGTGGATCTCTGTGAGTTCGAGACCAGCCTGGTCTACAAGAGCTAGTTCCAGGACAGGCTCCAAAGCCACAGAGAAACCCTGTCTCAAAAAANCATCTCAAAAAAAAAAAAAAAAAAAAAAAAAAAAAAAAAACCACGTGGCTGGGCTCAGCCTTTTACCAACTCTGCTGTCACCAGAAGATCCCGTCTGCTCCTATCTCCTTGGCTTGGGCCCAGCTCAACTCATAAGAGAAGCGAACGGGTCCCATGTGGACCCCCACCCAGGATCCTGTGTGATCCCACACCCAGGGTCCCGCGTGGACCCCCACCCAGGGTCCCGCGTGGACCCCCACCCAGGGTCCCGCGTGGACCCCCACCCAGGGTCCCGTGTGGACCCACACCCAGGCTGTAGAAGCCTGTAGAACCCTGATCATAGGAATACATGGCATGGCTGTCTTTCCCAGAGTTTGGGGCAGGGGTTCTCACACAGTATTGCTGTAGTTGACAGATACAAGAGAGACCATGTAAGTGCCTCTGCATCTTATAATGAATATCTAGGTATATGCTCTGAAGAAAGAAACTTTCTGAGTATAATTTTCTTTAAATGATAAACAGTATGTCTTTATCTATTTTTGTCCCAGTCCAATGGGATTACCCTCCCCTTATTCTCCCTGAAAAAGAGAGGAAAAGTTTGTCTGTTGGTCTGTGGTTCTCTATTCTCAATATACCAGGGATGGAACCCAGCACCTTGGGCATGCTAACCAGGCAGCCTATCACTGAACAATAGCTGTAGCCATAAGCAAGGTCTGTTTTTAAACGCAGGTCTGAAAGTCATTCTTAGCTGAGTGCTCAGGGTACAGGAATTTAAGCTCCTCACACAAACAGTGTGTGCTGCATACTCAGAATTATGTGGCCAGGACATTGATAATTTATATCTAGGTTAGCTAGATATAGACATCCTCCCGAGAAAATACGTGGTCAGTTCACAGTTTATTCAGTACTGAAAGATGATACTGTGGAGATGGATGGGTAAGGAAGAACCTGCTGTTCTTGCAGAAGGCACAGGTTCTGTTCCCAGCTCCCAGAACAGCTCACAACCACCCTAATCCCAGTCCCAGGGGATCTGGTGCCCCCTTCTGGCTGTTGTGGGAACCAGGCATGCACATGGTGTACGTACATACATGTAAGCAAAACCCTTATAAACACAAAAATAGAAATAATAAATAGATCTTTTAAAAATAATTAATGATTTCTTTTTTTTAAAAAAAAAGCTAAATTGGGACTAGAGAGATGACTTAGGGTTAGGGGTGCTTATTGTCCCATCAGAAGGCTAGAATGTGGATCCCAGTGCTCAGAGCAGGCTCACAGACATCTGTGACTTCCAAAGCCTCCGGTGCCTTCTTCTGGACTCTGCAGGTCCCTACATACACATGTGTGCATACACCCACACAGACATAGAAACACATACGCACACATAAGTAATATTCAAAAGGCTAACCTACCTAAAGAGTCTAAAATATCCTTTATGTCTGCAATTAGACAGTCCAGTTTATAACTCTCTTGATGAGTAGGTGCGTCTGACTCTCCATATCCTCTCAGATCCAGCGCAACGACTCTGTACTCACTTTTAAATTCTCTCAGTTGATGGCGCCAAGAATACCTGAGGGGGAAAAGAAACGTTAAGAATGTGGACCCGGGAGCTCTGCGGGTAAAGACTGACTGACTCCCTGAGCTGGACCCTGAGAACGAACCCCATTCCCACAGCTTCTCCTCTCCCCTCCATGCATGTGCCATGTCACATACATGCACATGCACAAAAGTAAATAAATGTCGACTAATAGTAAGAGCAACATTATCAGAGCACTGAGAGATGCGCTAATGCAGGAATTCTGATTGGTCAGCACAATGACACTTTGTCTAAAACGGTTCTGATTGGCCAGCATAATGACACCCTGTCTCAAAATCATTCTAATTGGTCAACATAGTGATACCCTGTCTCAAAGCCGTTCTGATTGGTCATTATAATGATACTCTGTCTCAAGACTGTTCTGATTGGTCATCATAATGACACCCTGTCTCAAAACTGTTCTGATGACTGGTCAGCATAGTGACACCCTGTCTCAAAACCATTCTGATTGGTCAGCATGACACTCTGTCTCAAAACCAACCAACAAACAAGAACAGTAAAGACTTCCTAAGGGAAAAGAGTCAGAAATGATTCTTTTAAAAACTATGTAGGGGCTGGAAAGGTAGCTCAGTGATTAAAAGCACTGGCTGCCATTCCAGAAGACCTGGGTATTATTCCCAGCACCCACAGGGTGGCTTGTCACTATCCATAATTTCATTTCTAGAGGATCTAATGCCTACTTCTGCCTTCTGTGGATACTAATATATACCTACATACATAAAATTGAATACATAAAAATTTTAAGAAGTTAAGTCATCCTCAGTGACATGGTGAGCTCTGGTTACATAAGACCCTATCTCAAAAATAACCAAAAAAACCCTCTTATTAAAAAAAGTTATATAGTTGCATGTTATAACAGGGAAAAGAGAGCCATGTGAGAAAGAGCCTCCCTTCATCATCATTAGGAACACTCATCTCCTTCCGATTTCCAGAAACTCAGAGCAAGGGGTCAGAATTTACAGAAACTATGAAGTATTACATACAAAATTTATATATATTTTCTAACCTTACTAAGAATAGTTACTTTACAGATTGAATTTCTCTTTTCTTTTCTTTTGTTTTTCGAGACAGGGTTTCTCTGTAGCTTTGGAGCCTGTACTGGAACTAGCTCTTGTAGGCCAAGCTGGCCTCGAACTCACAGAGATCCGCCTGTCTCTGCCTCCCGAGTGTTGGGATTAAAGGCGTGTGCCACCACCACCCGCCCCAGATTGAATTTCTATATGAAATAAAATGTCTTAACCCTTTAAAATAATAATAAGGAAGATAAGCTTAAGAATTTTGTTGGAATCTGCAACAATCTGGCTCAATGCTTTGGCAGGGTAATATAAACAAAATACTTTCGTACTGTAGAGCCAGGTGGCTTTGCCATTTTGAAAATGAAATTTAATTAAGAGGGAAATAGATTTGCTATATGAAAATCTATTTCCCTCTAAATTAAATTTGACTTACCTTATTCCACAGTCAAAAAGGGCTCAGTATTTTGTTTTTAGTAATTTCAACAATTGAAATTATTCAGTTATTTATTATTCAAAAATAAATTTTTAATATTCAATATTCAAATTATTTAATAATACAACAATAACTCAGTAACTTCAACAGTTGGAATTATGGTTGGAAAGGTCTGAAAACTAAAAGAATCCAACAGAACAATGATGTTGGCAGTAAGCATTTAAGAGCACTAACTATTCTTACAGAGGGCCAGTTTGGTTCCTAGAACCCACCCTTGGCATCTGGTAAGTGTCTGTAACTCTGACTCCAGGGGCTATGATGCACTTTTCTGTGGTTCTCTTGTGAAATGCAAAGGGGAATGCTCACCAGCAAATGAATGGATGCAGAAACATGGTGTATCTACTCAAGGGCATATTAGCCTTATTTACACATAAATAAGAATGAAATCGTCCTGTTTTTGAGAAAATGATAGAACTGGATACATCATGCTAAGCAAAACAAGTCATTCCCAGAAAAGCAAATATTGCATGTTTTTATTTTCTCTCCCTCTCCTCCCCTCTCTCTATATCATGTCTATATATGAGCAATATATTATATATGACATGAAGACAGGATTGTTTAGAGAAAGGAGGGGAACAAGGGAAGACTTGACAAGGAGCAAAGGAGTTTAACAGGACAGACATGACCAAATATGATAATATATCATATATTTGTCACAGTGACACCTAGTAATATTATAAATTAACTAAAATTTATTTTGAAAAATGAAACTATTGCTATAAATGTGTGAGGACAAAACAGCATTCTAATCAATTCTGAGAGCTCGGGAGATGTCAACATATTAACAAATTTCAGAAGAATAATTTTTGTGTGTATGTGCACACTTATATGAGTATAGTTGCAAATGCATGAATGTATAGATATGTACGTGTGTGTGTGTGCTTGTGTAGAAGGGTATGTGCATATGACCACAGGAGTCTGAGGAGTCCAGAAGAGTCTCAGGTACCCTTAGAGCTGGAGTTACAGGTAGCTATGGTCTCTTTGATGTGGTTTCAGGGAACTGAACTCAGGTCCTCTACAAGAGCAGCAATAGCTTAACTGATGAGCCATCTTTGCAGACTCCACCTTGGTTTGTTTTGAGACAGGGTCTCTCACTGGCTTAATCCTTGCAGATCAGCCTAACCAGACAGCCAGTTACCAGAGACCTGCCTGTCTGCCTCCATGCTGGCATCCTGTGAGTGGTGTCTGCCTTTTACATGGGTCCTGGGCCTTGGGCGCAGGCTATCACGTTCACACAGCAAACACCTTACCTACCAAGCCTCCTACCAGCCTCTGAGGAATAATTTAAACATCTTTTTTCTGGAATTCATAAATAGTAACAAATTTGACTCATATTTCGGCCACAAATGAAAATTGAAATCCCTGTAGTGACAGATGGCATTGTTGTTCATATGAACAAAGCAAACGTAATCCCTCTGTCACACGCTGCAAAGACTACAACCCTTATGATACTGAAACAAAACTATTTTCATACTTTTTATCCTAAAAACATTTGTGTGTGTGTGTGTGTGTGTGTGAGAGAGAGAGAGAGAGAGAGAGGGGGAGAGAGAGAGAGAGAGAGAGAGAGAGAGAGAGAGAGAAATGGTGGTTTTGCTATTGGTTTCCTGAATGGGAACTTATTAGCAGGCAGGCCTGGCACTAGCCCTGCTTAGACCCAGCTGGCCTCAGGCTCCTTTGTCTTGGCCTGTCCACGCTGGAATCATAGGCATGTGCCACCATGCTTAGCTTTGCTGACACCTCTAGACAATCGCAGAGGAAACAAACAACAAGACAGCCTCTTCCCCTGCTACTTCTGTAAAAAAAAAAAAAAATTCAGGATCCTGGTTTTCCACGCCAGACACTTTGAGGTGTGGAGCATCCTTTCTGTCCTTTCTGTGGAGGCTGAGGCCGCCGCAGCCGTGCTGAGATCAGGACGAGGCGTGCACACTCGCCTCTGCACGGGAGGGATGGCAGCATTCCAGGCAGCTGCAGATGGAGGCAACTCACAGAAATTGCCTGGGTCAGCTCAAAAATATTTTTAAAAGAGATGCAGATTGAGGCAGAGGGAGAGAAATACCATCTTCTGTCAAACAGCCCTAGTTTGGGCTGATTTAGCTAAAGTTCCCACAGATGTGTTATCTTCTCTAACGCTTCCTGTGCATTTAAGAAAGCAGATGCAGGACCCTGCTGTTTCGTGTCCCCATGTAACAGTACACATTAAATACTGCCACTGCTCACCAGTCTCAGGTAACAACAGTAAGTATAGATAGTACATTAGGCTGTATGGTACTCTAAATACTAAAAACTATTGTAAGGGTTTCTTTTTATTTTCTTTACTTTTGTGTGTCTGTGTGATTGAGTGTCTGCAGAGACCAGAGAGGATGTTAGACCCCCATACTTGAGCAGTGAGTGCCTCACCCACTGAGCCGTCTTCCCAGTCCCCAAATGAACAGATTTTAAGTATTGACTGGGCCCACGTGAAGGGTTTTACACATTTTGATTCTATCCTCACAACACCTCTGCAAAAATATTCTAAGTGATATTTTAGGTCCCTGTTCTATTTTGCTTTTCTGTCATGGTGATAAAAACATTCTGACCATAAACAATTTGGGGAGGACTTTACAGTTCTGGTAACAGTCCATCACCAAGGGAAGCTGGTGCAGGAACTGAAGCAGGAACCTTGGAAGAAGACTCCTCCCTCTCCTGTAACCAGGTAGCTTTCTTACCTAGCCCAGGCCCATCTGTCTAGCTATGGTACTGCCCATAATGAGCTGGGATCTCCTACCTCAATTAGCAATTAAGAAAATCTCTCATAGACATGCCGCAGGCCGATTTGTTCTTAACAATTCTTTACTTGAGGTCCCCTCTTTAAGCTGGCAACAAAAACCAACCAGGACATTCCTGTGACCATAAGTGAACTCCCTGCCTTTGCCACTCTGGGAAAATTTGATTCATGCTTCAGAATAATGTACAACAGTAAGTGGTCATGTCATGCACTCTGTGATGCAATTCCCTATACATGTCTCAGTTACACTGGGTGTTTTTCTCCCTCTTAATTAGGTTGTTTCCAGATGGAAGAAAAGAAGACAATTCCATGTTTATCCATTCAACTAAACCCTGAGTGGGTAGAGATCTTCTCGAGATGATACCTACAGGCCTCTTGCACTATAGAAATCAGGTGATGGGTAGACTCTGGATAGACTATTTATGGATAGTCCATAGGCTCCCTCTCATCCATAAATAATGACTAAATTGTCTAAAGGTAATATTCCTCGAGCAAGACACATTTAAGGCTGCAGAAGCAATCTGGCTGTGACACTCTGTCATCCTATTTATTACCAGTGTCAATGTGGCTGATCTGTCTGCCTGGGTGGGACACCTGAGCCCTTCCTTGCCACTCCACGTGGTGCCTTCTGATAGAGCAGGGCCTTTCTCTGGTCAGTGGTATATGGGAAGTTGTGCATGCCTGGTAAAACCTCCAGATAAACTCTCAGAGTTTGCTTTAAAATCAGGACACAATATCTTCAAGGCTCTAAACAAAATGAAGAATTTGTAATGGTAGAATTTCAGACACCATGGGACAGTAAGAGAAAGATTTTAGCTTTTCAAATGTTAGCCAATATTCTACTTTTGTGTCAACCCAGAAAAGACTTTTTTTTTAAAAAAAAAAAAAAAAAACACTCCCTAACCTATTTAGTTCATGAACCATCTGAAGGTCATACCCCTCTGCCAGCAAAAAGGACTTTCTTGCTGGGTGGTGGTGGCACACACATTTAATCCCAGCACTCAGGAGGCAGAGGCAGGCTGATCTCTGTGAGTTGGAGGCCAGTTGGTCTACAGAGTGAATTCTGAGGCAGGCTCTAAAGCTACACAGAGAGATCTTGTTGCAAATGAACAAACCAAAAAAAAAAAAAAAAACCCAACAACAAAAAGACTTTATTCTCACCTCAGTCTCTTCTATCTCTTTTTAATACACTATTTTTTCATAATTGGGTGTTACTTACATCTCCACCTCCATCACTGATATTGCCAGTGTAAATACCCCTGAATTCATATACTGAAACAATTTGCCAAAATGGCAGTTGTCTTAGTTTGGGTTTTCATTGCTGTGAAGAGACACCATGACCACAGCAGCTCTTATAAAGAAAACATTTAATTGGGGCGGCTGGCTTACAGTTTCAGAGGTCCGTTATCATCATGGTGGGGAGCAGGGAGGCGTGCAGAGCTGAGAGTGTGCTACAGCTTGACTTGCAGGCAGCAGGAAGTCAGCTGACAGCCATGCTGAGGGAAGCTTGAGCCAAAGAGACCTCAAAGCCCGCCCCCACAGTGACACACTTCCTCCAAGAAGGCCACTCTCTTTGGGGGCCATTTCCTTTCAAACCCCAATAGTATTAAGAGAGAGGCTTTTAAAGAGGGATTAAGTCATGAAGTCAGATCCCTCATATATGATATTAAATAAAGCACTCAAGAGAGTTAGCTAGGCCCTCCCTATCCTTCTACTGCATGAGGATATGATTGATATCAGTCCCTTGGAAGGACAAAGCAACCAGGCAGCATTTTGAGAAAAGGGACTGGGCTCTTAACAGACACTGAATCTCCCAAGGACTTGAACGTTTTGGCCTCTAGAACTGTAGGAAGTAAGTTTCTGTTCTGGTATTTTATTCTAACCATATACATATTTATTCTAACCACACCAGTAGACTACAATAGAAAGCACTATGAATTTTTTGCTATAGGAATTTTCTCTTTTACTTTAAAACATTTAGGTCTGTAATAGAGCCTACATTCATATGTCCTGTGGTCATGCCTTCTCAACAAAGCCTTGGGCTTCCTGCCAAGTCCTGCTTCCCTCACCCGGGCTGTATTTTATTTTGTCCAGAGTAGCTGCTCTGCAGAAGCTATTTTATAACTTGAAATTTCAGAAAATTGAAACATTAGAAGACTTTTTAAATCTTTCTAAAAGGAAGCGTGACAGCTGGAGGCTGGACGAGAAGAGGTTTGAGTTTAAGGCTAGCCTGGGCTACACAGCAAGATGTTGTCTTGAAATAATTAGGATGGTCATATGTATTTAATGCTTTTAGATTAGGAGGGAAACCATTGCTGTGGCTTCAGGGACTTCAGGAGTCACTCACCACCCTGGGAAATGATTTGTCCTTACAAGAAAGTCATCTGTGGTAAGTTCTACAGTTAGAGTGTTTGTCTCTGCAAAACTCATGATGACATTTAACCCTGATTGTAAAGTATCAAGAGTAGAACTTGTTAGACATGATTATGGCATGAGCGAGCCTGACCTCGTGGGGTTAAGCACAAATTCACCCTCTGTTGCTGTCTTGCCTTTCTACCTTCTATCCTGGGCTGACTCAATACATGGCACCTCACACCAGCTTCCCAACCTAAGGGAAAAATATCCTATTCTTTTACAGCATCACCAAGTGAACCAAGCCAGGCTGCTGAGTGCTAACGTGAAGGAGAAGAAGTTAGTCGGTAACTTTACCAGAATTCCGGAAATCCATGAAGCAGCAGCATGAGAGGTCTGCCCCTTTCTCCAGCAGCAACATAGTGAAATCTCAGTCCTGAATCCTGAAAGTGGGAAGTACGCAGATTGTGGTAACAAGCATCATCAAACTAAGACGTTTAGAATTTCCATTAGGCTGAAAACATTCTCACTTGAATTATTTTAGCATTAAGAAATAAATATTAATTTAACAACGTGAGTTATCAATAGGATAAATGGACCAATTCACCTTTGGGGTATTCCCTTAGAATACCCCTCTCCTTTGTTCGGTGTATGGTGTATTTTGAGCTTCTGAAGCAAGGTCACAGTGTAGCTTTTGTCTTAGTGAGGTGTCACGTTTCATCCCCTGCAGGATATGTAAATAATTCTGATCTGAATTTCAATTTTGCTAAGACTATCTCATGTACTCTGCTTAGCTCGCCTGTCAGAAGTTATGTAATTCACACCCCTTCTCTTATTTTTAGGTATCTCCTTCCCACACTTTATCTTGAGTGTTTCATATATGGTCCCCTCGCTGCCTGTTCCTCCCGTGTGTGCTTCTAACAGCGGAATATACCAAGTGCCCGAGACTTCACTGAGCATGTGGAAGATAAGCTAGCCCAAGGAAAAGGCAGGGAACGGGAACAAGAGCAGCAAACACCAAGGAACAGTAAAACAGAAAAGAAAGGGAAAAGAAGCAAAACTCCTGAAAGTATGAACGATAGTGGAAGTCAAAAGTTGAGCATGGACCCTGGACTTTGGACGTGAAAGTCTGGCCGGTCATTTCATTTAACTCTGTCTACAGAGTTAGAAAATGAGGCCCAGGTGCAGCGGTAGAGCGCCTGCTTTTTTAAGACCTGAGGTTCTCAGTTCCGCAATCCCCTCCCGCAAATGAGGTCCAAACAAGTCAGGCAAGTCATAAAGGTAGCTGGGAAGGTTGCAGCTGTAGCACCGCTAAACAAATAAACAGGTGGAGAGGAATGAGGTGACTCGCTGACTAGAATTACCATTGTGTCTATCTCTTGGTTCTCCTTCTAAGGAAAAAGAAAGGCATTCCGAGGAACTCGCGATGGTCCATAGGTTACATTTTCTCCATAAGTCAGCAGTTAGCACATGCGTCTTTGCTGTTATCTCTTTAAAAATGTTTTAGTGGTGGTTGAATCTTGAAGAATGAGATGTTAAGGCCGTCGGACTGGATTTAATCACTACTTTACTGTACTAGGTATTTGCCAGGTCGATAATTATAATGATGAATTATACTAAGTTCTAAGTCCGTTGGTCGGGTTCATTTTTCTGTTTTTGCTTGTTTTGTTTTTACCAAACGTGACGGCATTTGATTCTTTCATCTTTCAGGCTTCTCCTGCCTTTCTGAATCCCAGTTGCGGGGGAATTTAGCTGCTGACAGAAAGTCAGGACTCAGTAACATAAATATCTCCTCGTATGCTGCCTTTGAGAGGCTTGTGAGTCAGAGTGCAGTGCGTGTCACAGGGACGATTTCACTCCACCACCTGGCGTCAGGAAATAGAACGTCTGTGGGCTGTGACCGAAGTTGGGACAAGTACTGTCAATGACGAGCGAAGGAAGCTTTACTAAGGAAAGTGGACACCTACTTTTTATTCCATCCCTCGGGTCCCTGAGTGCTCACATCGGCCTTGCTCACAAACACACACCATTTCTTTTTTGTTTCTGCTTAGGTCATCTGAAATCAGAAATGACTTTCCAAAGAACTGTGCGTTCGCTCCATCTCAAAAAAACTGGACAAACCTAAGACAGCAGGACATCGCCAGGAGCGTTGTTCTGCAGCTGATCCGAGCCCCAAAAGGCAGAAAGGGTGACAGGAGACGGTTTCTCCTTGCAGTAGGAAAGGGGGGTAGAATTTTCTGAGTTGCTTCGGCAGGAGGAGGATCCTCCGGTTAGAGAAATTCCACATAGAAATAGTCTCCCTCCCGCCCCCACCCCACACACGCGATAAGGAGAAAGCGGACAGACATAAATTGAGCCCCTGTAGAACCCCCAGCCCTGTCCCCCCTGTCTTCCCTGGGGTCCCCCCGGTAGCGTCCCGGTAGCCGGGAAGCATTTGGGAAGAATCAGCCCAGCGCCCTTAAAGCCCGCGGCTCCCACGACCCACGCCCGCATCAGGCTCCCTCCCCGCGCTCCGGGCGCGCGCCGGCCTTCACCTTGATCCGCACGTAGCAGTGGGTACCCAGAGAGGGGTCGCTGAGGCACGCGGGCGGGTGTGCCCGGGCCGCCCGGCGGAAGGTCTGCGCCGGTGCCTTGCCGATGCTCCACAAAAGTTTGAGCAGGTGGACGGAGGCGCACAGCCCGCAGTAGCCGTACACCAGGGACCAGTAGAGCAGGGCGCGCAGCGCGGGCACCAGGCGGGCCGGGCGCGGCGAGGCCATGGGGCGGCCTTGCGGGAGCCGAGCTGCGGCGTCCCTCCCGCGCCTGCCGCCCTCCCCGCGCGCCCGTCCGCCCGGCCCCGCACACGCCGCGCGCCCAGGCCTCGGGGACCGCGCAGAGCGAGCGAGGCCCGGGTTGTCCTCCGCCCGCCCGCCCGCCCGTGCCACTTCGCTAGCGCCGACGCTGAACGCCATCCTGGGGGTCCCGCAGAAAGAGTCCTGCTCTGAACAGGTTCAAACCCTGGTTCCCAGATAATCTGGAGTGTCTCAGGCCTTCTGGATGTCAGAACCACGAAGGGAGGGAGGGACTTTTGTGCTAAATTGCGGCCATTGTTTCTTCAGGTAGGTACCCTTGACAGTCTCTTGCAGATGTTAACTGTTCAACTTCAACTTAACTGTTTCTTCGAAGTTACCAGCCCCACCAGAAAAAAGAGCAAAGGGCACTTTAGACCAACGTGCAGGCAACCAGTTGGTTGTTCCCCTGCCCTTAGCAGGAAGGTGTCCTCCCTCACCCTCTCTCCTCCTTAATCTACCCAACTTCCCTTCCTCTTCCTATCCCCATTGGTGCAGGTCCTACAATAGTTTATCAAGACCCCAGTTAAGAAACATCATTTCTCCACTCTTCCTTCCTTCCCCTCCCCTCCCTTCCAGGGTGTGTGTGTGTGTGTGTGTGTGTGTGTGTGTGTGTGTGTGTGTGGTGTCTCCAGGTGTCTCCCCAGGTCAGAAGAGGGTGTTGGATTCTCTGGAGGGGATGTTACAGGTGGTGAGTCTGTGTCCTCCTCCCATCCTGCTAGGAACTGAATCCAAGTCCTCTGAAAAGTCGTAGTCTTAATTGCTGAGCCATCTCTGTCCTTTCCCCCTATCTGTATAACTTAGGACTGTTATAACTATATCTACATAAAATGCTTTTTGTGTGAACATTTTTGTTTTTTCATTTCACCCAGAAATGAGATCGTAGGGTCAGGTGGAACTTTGGCTTCCTGAGATAAATCACACTGGGTTTCAGAATGGCCGGCTGCTCCAGGGGCAGAGGCCTTACAGCCTGCAAACCAGAATTCATAAAGCAGGTTCAATTCTTGCTTCAAAAAAAAAGTGACCATACAATTTTGGAATTACCTACAATCTGAGTCTTTGCTGAGTCCCATTCTTGACTGCACTAGGTACTGAGCTCTTAATTTCAGCCATTCCAGAGGCACAGAGAGAACACTGATTCCCAGTGGAAGGAGACACTGTCTTCAGTAAGGAAGGGAGCGGCAGAGGGCGAGCATGGGGGAGGGTAGCTGGGGAGGCTGATGAATTAGGACGAGCTAACACATATGTCTGAATATGCCATAAGAAAACTTACCACTTTGTATACTGACTTAAATGCTCAATAAAAAGGGTAAAACTTAGTGTGCGTTCATTTCTCTAATGGTGACTAGTATTGGGCCTCTTCTGTGTGGCCACATGTCACGTCATTCTTCTTTGACAGGGCGTCTAGACAAGTCTTCACTCAGTATTGCTCTCCTTCCCCACAGTGGAAGCAGGGGCCTGCATGCACCAGTGCTGGGCTCTACTGCAGACACTTTCATCCTCTAGGCTTTCTCACAGATGCGTCTGACAGTTCGTCGTAATTATTACAAACCGTTATTGAACACAATGTGGCCTCTTGTTCTCCTTATTTGTATTTCTTCTCAGGGGGGGAAAAGCTTTAATTTTGGTAAAGTCAAATTTGTCAGTTTTCCCATTTGTTATTCATCCTTTTCATGACAAGTCTAAACATTTGTAGCCCAGCCAATGGAGCATACAGATTTTTAAGTTTTGTGATCATCTTAATATTGTTTGTTATGCAGTTTTTGTATAAGATGTGAGGTTTTACTTGACATTCATGTATCTTAGACTCTCCTATGGCACTTGTTGGAAAGCCTACCTGTCTCTACTGAGTTCATGTGTGTTGAGTTCATGTCTACTGAGTTCATGTCTGCTGAGTTCATGTCTACTGAGTTCATGTCTGCTGAGTTCATGTGTATTGAGTTCATGTCTACTGCGTTCATGTCTACTGAGTTCATGTGTATTGAGTTCATGTCTACTGAGTTCATGTCTACTGAGTTCATGTGTACTGAGTTCATGTCTATTGAGTTTCTGTCTATTGAGTTCGTGTCTATTGGATTGCATCTTTGCCACAGAGCTTTAGTTTCATTTCTGGGGTCTCCACTCCATGCTATTGCATTGATCTATAGTACTGGGGTTGTGTCTTTTCTTTATATCTCCCTTCCTCTCTTCTTAGGATCCTTGTTTGTATGTGTTTTATATGTTCTTATTCATATATTCTAGTCTATAATGGTTTCTTTGTACTACATAACAATTGAAGAGAGTTGAATATACAACTATTTGCTTTTACAAAAGAGCATATTTTACAAAATGGTTATGTGCATTGAGTCTGGCCTGGTGGTGTATGAGTTCCCTTTAATCCTCCCCAACATGTGATGATAAAAATATTATTTTAGCTAACAATGAGTTAAGATTATTATCATATATGGCTTCAGTTTTGTTTTCCTCAATATCTAAGAAGCTGAATGTCTCTCCATGTTCATTATCCATACAAATCTCCTAACCTCTCATGAGGCCAAGAGCTAGGGGCTGTGTGTTATTCTCAATTTTCCAGAATTCTAGTCAGGTGTAACCAAAAGATTGGGTTGGGAGTGTGTGATGCCTCTTTCAAGCCTGGCCATTAAAAACCTTTCCATGAGCAATTTGGTAGTTTGAATGAGAATGGCCCCAATAGGTTCCGTTTGAATATTTTGTTCTTAGTTGGTGGAACTGTTTGGGAAGAGTGCAGAGGGGGTGGCCTTGCTGGAGGAGGTGTGTCAGGGGGGTTGGGCTCTGAGGTTTCAAAAGCCCACATTATTTCTAGTTAGGTCTCTGCCTCATGCTTGTGGATCAGGATGTAAGCTCTCAGCTACTGCTCCAGTCTCATGCCAGTCTGCCTCTGAAACTGCAAGCCCCCAATAAACTCTTCTGTATTGCCTATCACGGCAACTGAAAAGTAAGTAACACGAAAGTAACTAAGATTCTTCCCTCTAATCCCCCCCCCCACTCTTCAGAATTCTCTCTCACTTTCCTTTAAAAAAAAAACTATGCAAACTCTGCTTTCACTATGCAAACACAAAACAAAACAAAAGCTTCCATCTGCTCACCTGATCTTATTGTCTTGTGGCATATCCACGGCAGAGGCCACGTGATCTAGGTGGAGTAACTGGAAACAGAATGGGGTCACCCTAGTGTGCATCGAGGGCTGACATTCTGTGACAAAATGCTGCTTGCATTCCGCGCCGTTTGATAGTTTTGCTGTGTTCAGAACTGCAAGCTAACAATGCTTCCGTTCCTGTTTTCAACTAAGGCTTGTCATCCTTACCGTTCACACAGAACCGTGATCTTCAGTGTGAAAGGATGCTGCAGTTAGCAAGGAACCGCACGGAGTTTTTCCTCCCCTCACATGCAAAAACCAATATCTCACAAACTTAGATTCTCACCAGTGCACACCCTCCTGTGGCAAACAGTTCAGATAAGAGCAAAAAGATACTGTTTGACATGGCACCAGCAGCAGCCATGATTAACACACCTTACAGATGACCAGCTCACCCCTAAGGATACTGCCTAATGAGAAAAGCTGTGCTCAGATACACAATGAGAAAACATACAGGATTCGCACACACTTTAGTGCTGGAAAGAATGACAACCAAAATCCCCACATCTCTAGCTAACACTCACACACCCCTATGCATGCACAAAACAAAGCAGAATCAAACCAAATCTCTCTCACACACAGGCTCTCTCACACATACACACTCACAGGTAGGTATCTTCAAAAATTCATTTTTCTCAATTTTAAGAAAATCAAAATTGTTTGCTCAAAAAATGACTTTTGTTATTCCTGGCTGGTTGCAGGGATTCTTATTAGATATGTTGTTAGATCTTTTAATTAATGGTTGGCAAACTTTTTAACATTCTCAGTAAGAGGTTGGGTGGCAAGTATTTCAAGTTTTAAAAAATTACATAGTGTGTATGCAGTAGGTAGACATATATGTGGATGTCGGAGAACTTGTGGCAGTAGGACCTCCCCTTCCTCAGGCCTGGGGCTCAGACTCAGGTAGTCAGGCTGGGTGGCAAGCGGCTTTACCTACTAAACCTGCATTGTCATCAAACACACAACTAATCATGGAGTGTCAGTAGACGGTGAAGCTGTGCCCCAATAAACAGTTTGTTTTACCTAGATGCCCTTCAATTGAAGAATGGATGAAGAAAGTATGGAATATATACATATTAGAGTACTACTCAGCAGTAAAAAACAAGGACTTCTTGAAGTTTGCAAGAAATGGATGGAAATAGAAAACACTATCCTGAGTGAGGTAAGCCAGACCCAAAAAGAGGAACATGGAATGTACTCACTCATATTTGGTTTCTAGCCATAAATAAAGGACATTGAGCCTATAATTCGGGTTCTTAGAGAAGCTAAATAAGAAGGAGAACCCAAAGAAAAT